CCCGTGGGGATTACAATTGAGATGAAAAAAAAATGTGCAAAATGATGTAAAAATAAACTTTTTAATAAAAAAAAAAAAAAGCCCTACTTGCCAGAAGAAGATAAGAAAGATTTAAGGGTTTTATACAAGTCAACTAGAAACCAAACAGGGTTGGTTTTGAAAAGAACACATACATATGCATATGTATGTGAATGAAGGACTGAATTAATGAGTGATAAGTTACGTTGCTTCAGAGTTGCTTTTCAATTATTTTTATATAACTTTAGAGCTTTTAGAAATTTGATTTTTTGACAAGGAATGTTTGATTTTTTTTCCTAGTAGTGGAATTAAGTTTATTGGAATATTAGAAAAATTACCAATGAATGATTACAAATTTAAATTTGAACATGAATGAATGTTAAGTTATATTTATTTGTATTCCAATCTGTGTCTATCAAATGAACCAACAGAGACCACTTCAACATAAAGGTGAATGTTTTCCTCAGGATCTTTTATATTAAACTAGATCTAGAAACAAATCCTTTTATTTATAATTAAGAATATTTTTTCCATATAGTAGCAATCAAATTTATTAAAGTTATAGCATTATGAATATTTAAAAACTATTCTCATTTTAATAACACTGGAATTAAGATCTTTCTTACTACCTACATTCCACTTTTGCTGTTTCTGTACTTCTCAGTTCTCTAATTCAAAGTCATCAAATTCTAAACTTGATTTCCTTGATGGTGACTTTACATCTCTTGACCTTCCTAGTGAGATAACTATTCTCATGAGTTCTAAGTAGATACGTGGTAATATTGCCAACCTTGCACGCTCACCGTCAGTAAGATGTTATTTCTATCAGACATTTTCTAAAGGGAGTGAGTGGGTAGTGCTGTAATAGTGATAATAAACTTGCTGACTTCAGAGGTGTTCATTTTGAATGAAGATTCTCTTGTGAATGTTGCATTAGTACTTTTATCTCACAGTCAATGTCATTGAAATAACAGGTTTATGTAGTATATTGATACATTATGATTTTAAAGTGGGATTGAAAAAATTTTGAAAATGTTGCTCTACATAGGTGCCTGGAATACTTACTAAGAAATGATGCAAATCCAGGGATTCGGGACAAGCAAGGCTACAATGCAGTTCACTATTCAGCTGCTTATGGCCACCGTCTATGTCTCCAGCTGGTAAGAGTCCTAAATTCCTGTGTAAGAACTAATGTGAGTTTATGTTCTAGTAATACAATGCTAATATATGAGTCAAGAAACGGAGTATATGTTGCTTTTTATTACTTCTAGAACCCATACACCTCTTAAATCCATACTTGCCTCAGTAAGATACCTCATTCACTTCTCCCTTTCAAAAAGAAAGGAGGAAAAGAAAATTAGATCTGTGGTAAGGGCTAGTTATTTCCTCCCCTATACTTACCTCACATATATGTTGCATTTACTTCTCCTGTGCTTTTAAATGAGTTTTTGAGACATTTCTAAAGAACTGTAAGCATGTCTTAAGTGAAAAATACATTTTCCTGTAAAAGGAAGATTCCTCAGGCATTCTGAAAGGCCCATTCTTTCTATTAAAAGTCTCTCCTGATAAGGGGGACTATTTCTGCAAAGGAGTTTTTATTTCAACTGTGATTTTATTTTTTAATATATATAGTTTATTCTTGAATATAATACACACACACACACCATTCACCCCACTTTGCCAAACTAGAGGGAAAGTAAGAGACAAGTTAAAAGATACTTAGAGCGTGGGCCCTCCCTAGTGGGCCCTCCCTAGTGGCACAGCAGGTTAAAGCACAGCACTGAGAAGCCACTTCTGCATGAGTTCGATTTCCACCTGCCCCAGAAGTGACCACATGGCGTGGCAGACCTCTCCTGACCCGCCCGCTGCTCCCCTCAGCAGTGTACTTCATCAATTGGGCTGTTCTGCTACCCACTCTGTCTCTGGTGAGGCCTCTCTGCTGCCCCTGAGCCTCTGGCCTATACCCCAGAGGGTATTTGTATGCACAAATAATTAAATCTTTAAAAAAAAAAAAAAAGATACTTATTGCGTGCCTTTCCTGGTGGCGCAGTTGGTTAAAGCATAGCACTAAGAAGCTAAAGCCACTTCAGAGTAAGTTCAATCCCTGCCCCGGAGGTGACCCACATGGCGTGGCAGACCTCTCCTGACACACCTGCTGGTCCCCTCAGCAGTGTACTTAGTCCATCTGCCTGTTCAGCTCCCCAGTCTGTGTCTGGTGAATCCTCTCACTTCCTCCTGCCATAATTCTGGCCTACAACCCATTTTTTGATGCATAAATAAATAAAATAAATTTTAAAAAATACATGTAATTCTAACCTAAGGTTTGTGTTTTTGTTTTAATTTTTCAGATTGCAAGTGAGACTCCTTTAGATGTTGTAAGTATTAGCCTATCCCTTCTGCCCCTTACTATTCAAAATTGTATAATTATTCATTTGCTCACACTAGAACTAAGACCAATTTTACACATTCCTAGAAACTAAGATAAGTGACATAAATCGTGTGTAGGGAGGCAGTAATTAAATAGCATTTCCCAGAAGCTCATAGTTTACAGCCCTTCCTCAGTGCCCTTGTCTGGTTCTTCCCACATTTTCACAATGATCTATAGAACTTGCCAAGTTTAGTTTTCGTAATATGATGGTCTTATATTTTAAAATTCATATTTAGATGTTAATTTATACTTATGGGTTGAACTTGGAATAGGGGGACAGGAGTAACTGCTGTAGTATATCTGACAGTGCCATTTCTGACATTTAATATGCAGCTTTTCTATTTCAGTTAATGGAAACCTCAGGAACAGACATGCTGAGTGATTCAGATAATAGAGCGACAATAAGCCCTTTACACTTGGCTGTGAGTACTGCCTTCATAACCAGTTTAATAGCAAGTTTACTGAGACTATCTCCTCTGTTTTGACTCAAATTAGTACCCAGAACTTTTGTTCCATGTAATGATGATCTTGAAATTGAAATGTTAATTTTTTTTCAAAGAATTGTTGAATGTACTTCTGTTATGTTTTGTCTAAATGAGAACAGCCCTCCAAAATGATCTTTGGGTTTCCCCAAGAGCCTACTCTTAAGGTTAGAATGTACCTGTAATGTGAGTTAAAAAATGCATGGTCCTCGTGGAATGGCCTCTAACCTGCTCAGCAGGTAACTTAACAGCTAAGCACTTTAGTTTCTGTGGTGTTTCTACAACTCTCTGCTTTTTGATTTTGGGGTACTGGCATATGCCCACTGTCCACTGATACTTCAGCTGTTTGGCTGAAGTATAAAATTTGGCTTAATGGATCTGTTATGTCCCTTCTAGTTTAAGGTAACTTGTTTTTCTCCACTTAATGTCATTCACTAAGAGGAGAAGGTTACAAGAGAACAGTAATTCTTAAAAACAAGTAAGAGAATGAATGAATTTAAGAAATGTCCAGTAGAGCCCAAGCATGTTAACAGTTGGGGCAGGAGGAAGGCTGGCTGAGGGAGGGACTATGAGAAGTGAGACCTGGGTACTGTCACTAGCTAGTCATGTGACCTCTGATTTAAAGTAAAAATGCTTGTTAGCATAAAATACTTAAGTGAATGTGGATTACTATACTTTGGTGATTGTTTTGTCCTCAAATACATATAGTATTTTTTTTATCATGAATCATCTTCCATGTTTCTAACATTGACACATGTATGTTGAACTTTCTGCCCCTCAAACATGTATGTTTGTCTTTCTGCCCCTCTCATCCCACTAGTATTACTTACCATCTTCTAAATAACTAAGAAGACATGGTGAAGCTTCCAACTTCTTTTCCCTTTGAGACTCTGGAAACAGTATCTACTTTTTCCAGATTGTATAGAAAATAAGTAATCTGAAAGAGCAATGCCAACATGGAGAAAATAGCCATTTTTTGCTCTGGGTGGCAAGAAGTAAAGTCTGTGCAGATGACTAGGCGATTCTTACATCATTGTCATCATCCTAATCATCATTATTCTTCTGGTATTAGTGCTGTCATTTTGTGAGCAGGTACTAGGTGCTAGACTAAACATTTTGGCAAAATTTTTAATACATTCTCAAATAAAACTATGATTTTTCTTGCTCCATGGCTGTTATTAGTGCCATTATGAACATGGGTGTGCTGCTGAACAGTTTTTTTTTTTTTTTAACTGAAATAGAAACAACTTATGATTAAGTGATTAGGCTCACTGTGTTATCTCTTGTGTATTTTATACCCCTAACAGGTTTTCAGAAATTACTAGGAGTGATTTATTTTCCTTTCTAAACTCCCTCAGCAGAGACGTCTTGATGCAGTGAAAATACAGGGCTTGGTGCTTGGTCTCTCTTTGTGTATACTCATGTACAAGTTCCTGTACAAGTTCCTTGTCTCAGTCCTGTTCATCATCTGTGGCAAATCATGGCTCCTGTCATCCTTCTTTTCTTTTTTTCTTTTTATAAATATCTCTTACATATATCCTGTTTTACACAAAGTTTTTTTCTTTTAGTTACATAATTTTATTGACCTGGTAATCATTAAATATCCTAGAAGAATAGAAATCAGTGTTCTCCTAGGAATAAATACAAGTCAGTAAAAAATTTATTTATGCATCCAAGAACTGGGGTGTAGCCCAGAGGTTGGAGGTGGGGAAGGATTCACCAGAGACACAGTGGGAAGCACAGAAGGTACATTGAAATACACTGCTGAGGGGAGCAGCGGGTGAGACAGGAGAGGTCTGCTGTGCCCTGTGGGTCAGCTCCTTGGCTTGGGATGGCCACAGTGGCTGCAGACAGCTTCATGGTGCTCAGATTTAACCCTGTGTGCCACCAGGGAGGAGGCCCTCCAGTATCTTTTTTTTTTTTTTTTAAAGATTTATTTATTTGTGCATATAGAACTGGGGTACAGGCCAGAGGCTCAGGGGCGGTGAGAGGCTTCACCAGAGACAGAGTGGGGAACAGAACAGGCAGATCGAGGAAGTACACTGCTGAGGGGAGCAGTGGCGGGTCAGGAGAGGTCTGCCATGCCATGTGGTCACCTCCGGGGCAGGCGGAAATCGAACTCATGCGGAAGCGGCTTTAGATTCTCAGTGCTGTGCTTTAACCCACTGCGCCACCAGGGGCCCTCCAGTATCTTTGAGGCAATAAACTTTGTAAGTAGTCAAGTGTCCTACACAGAGCTATCAAAGAGATCAGTAAAGCCAGAGAAAATTACCTCTTGCTGCTACTCTGACATTTTTTTTGTCAGAAACTGCTTTACGGCCCTTTGATGACTTGTGGGGTCCTGCTCTGGTTAAATACCTTTCTTGAGATTAAGAGCAAGCAAGATTTAACTCAACTGTGGCAGAATTTTTTATTTTTCAGTTAGCCATTGATCATTTAGCAGCCTGCTGAGCCGTAGGTCTGAATAATATCAGAAAATGACTTGTGATAGTCCCTTAGCTACAAAGTAATGGTATAAGTGAACTGGAGAGAACATTCATGTTGGAACTGGGGCTTATTATTGCCTTATTTTTGTCTCAATATCTAGTTCTGTGAGAACAATAGGTGTTCATTTGACATGTTGGTTTTGAAATCAACTGTCTGGGAATATAATCCCTTCATCAGACTGTAAAGAAGTGGGCTTCCCTCAGATTTATGTTTAAATCTTCTTGGTGTTTTGGACGGTTGAGACAGTGCTTGCCTATGGCAGTTACTCCAGCAGAGCACAGTCCATGTATTACTATGCTAGGAAGAAGTGTTTATTTTTGATATGTGATATTTTATGCGGTGAGGTAGTTGTTTTGAGAAATTAGAAGACTCAAGTACTAGTTTAACTTCAGTTGCTGGCTAACTTTTTAGGAAAAGTTGTAAAATTGTATCAGAGTTGTGGAATACTTAATTATAATTCAGAATGTAAGCTTTGGAATCAGACTTAGAATGAAAGCTTTAACTGAAAGGATGTCACACATCCACTGATGTCAGGAGCCATACTTGCATACTCATGAAATGATCACCTCTCATGTGAACTTTTATCAGTCCCTAGCATTATAGCCTACTGTTTGATTATTAGAGAAACTTTATAGTCAACTTTCTGAATTTTCAATACAGAAGCTTTGAATTGTCTCATCCAATGTAAAGACAGATTTTTATAAGGAATTTGGGAAGTCACTGTAAATATTTTCTAACCAATACTTTCACTTGCTCCTAGGCCTATCACGGTCACCATCAAGCACTGGAAGTGTTGGTACAGTCTTTGTTAGATCTGGATGTGAGAAACAGCAGTGGAAGAACACCCTTAGATCTTGCAGCATTTAAGGGCCATGTTGAGTGTGTGGATGTACTCATTAATCAGGGAGCCTCCATCTTAGTAAAAGATTACATTTTGAAGAGAACCCCTATTCACGCCGCAGGTATGTTAAATATGTTATTTACCATTTTTCATCTAATACTCATTTTCTTTCTGAATGTTTTATAGTAGTCGTAGCAGTTGTAGCTTTTTGAAAGGTCGAACGAGTCTACCCTCAGGGAAAAGCCAACAAGATTGTAACTGCTTTATAAATCATTGTCTACTTGGAGATTGAGCTTTTATTATAAAAGTCTTAATTCTGAAGTGTTTAAACAAAACAGGCATTATTTTCACTCATTTTTGATGGAAGTTATTTTGGATTGGTATGTACTTTCATTAGCAATCGATAAACATTTTGACATCTTTACCAGCATACTGCATTTAGCATTTATTCAGACTGAGTTGTATCTGCATTACACAAAAACTGTTTACTCTGTGTGTGAGTTTCCTGTGGTGTTGTGGATGATGCAGAGCTTTATCTCTATGTGGTATTTGACTTGGTACTGGCTATGCTTCATACCAGCAGGTGCTGAGACACCACTCTGTGGGAATTCTTTTAAGACTTATTTTATTTATCTATGCATGCAAGAGCTGGGGTGTAGGGCAGAGTATTCGCCAGAGACAAAAGTGAAGAGCAGAACAGGTGGATTGAAATACACTGCTGAGGGGAGCAGCAGGGAGACAGGAGGGGTCTGCTCAGCATTTGAGCTCTCTCCCTGGCCAAGGATCAAAGGAACCATGCTCAGTGGCTGTGGACAGCTTTGTAATAGTGCTGAGATTTAACCCCTTGTACCACCAGGGAGGCCCACTTCATTACAAGACAATTTTCATTTTAAGTAACCAAGACTGATTGATACACTTGAAGAAATACTAGCCAAGTGTTTTCCTTATTCTCTGTTGGCCATCTTTATTTATATGAGATTATTTTCACTTGGTCTGTTTTATGGAGTGATATTACTATATGGTAATAAATCAAAGTACCATCATTTTCTATTACCTTATTCTGAAAAGAGTAAAGGTGTGTGTGTGTGTATAATTCTACAACTTTAAAAACTGTTGTAAACAGATCATATGCAGAGCTTTTTTCTTTTCCCCTAGAACTAATTTAAAGTTTTCATAGTCTTTTCACTCTCAATAAATATTGAACAAAGGTACTAGCCATTCCCTCAAAGCTGCTAACCAGTGCATAGAGTCTAACATAAATCCTGTCTATTGAAAGAGCTACAGGTTTCTGTTAGCATCTTCCTATCCAATAAATGTAAACTTTGTTTCTTTAGAAGCCTTTCACACTTGGAGATAGGCTAGGGAGCATTATATTCACTAGTCATTTAAAGTTTTTTTCCAAAGTTAACTAGTCATTTCTAATGATAGTGATTGGTGTTTGGGCTACTGAACTTAGGTACCATAAAAACTCAGAATGCTCTTCCCTCAGTTTAAATGATGGCTCCAACTCAAGCAGCCCCACTGTAAGTGATTACTAAGAGAGCTGTTGGCTGGTGTACCATATAGGTGGGAGGATATTGAGCCACAAGTCTTAATAACTATAAGAATCTACTACAGCTGTTAAAAGTACAGTAGCATGTGCTTTATGGACAATAGGAAAAGACATGGAAGCAGCCCAAATGCCCAAAAGAGGATGACTGGATTAAAAAGATGTGGTACATATACTCAGTGGAATATTACTCAGCAACCAAAAGAGATAAAACACATGCCTTTTGCAGCAACATGGATGGAGCTGGAAGGGATTATGCTTAGTGAAATAAGCCAGAAAGAAAAGGAAAAATATCGGATGGTTTCACTCATAGCAGGAGTATAATAGACCAGGCCAGAAAACAAGAATAATAAAGAATAATTATATACCAGAGACATTTTATGGGGGTGGAGTGGGAAATGGGATCAAAAACAGTGGGGGGAGGGAAATGCATCACCAGGTGATGGCACCTGGGTGATTTGGTGATGGGAAGCCTATGGGGATTACAACTGAGATGGAAAAAGGCACAAAATAATGTGAAAATAAACTATTATATTATAAATATATATATATGTGTATATATATATGCAGTTTTATATGTGTGTATGTGTACATATAACTACACATATAAATACATGTGTGTATATACAAACATATGATTGCAAAATAATTCATGCAGTTTTAAGATTGAATAATTAAAAGTTTAACCAAAAAATAATACAGTAGCATATCAGTCATTTGACTAATTTTGTCTTTTAATTAGGAAGAGTAGTGATAGATACTCCTTTCTACATCATTATGTGGTTTATACAGTACTTTGAACTTCAAGCTTTTTTGTGACCACACCCAGGATTTGCTGAGCATTTATTTGTTATTACGAGCTTACTGTTTTCCTTAGGCAACTTCTACTTAACACCATTGCCCGTTTTGTGTATTTGGGTATATAGATGCATTATTTTAGATCTCTTTTCTCTAATTGTATATGTATCATTTTTTGTAATCCCCAACTAAGTGGTGACTTTATGGCAAAGTTCAATTTCTCACATAAAATGTCCAGAGATAAATGGACTTCTGGGCTTGATTTAGGTTTCATTCACATTAGAGCTCAGAACAACTCTTACTCTTGCCTTTGCATTGATGCCACAGAATGATGCTGTTTTACAAGATCACAGTAAAGATCAGGCAAGAAGGGGGACTTTTCATTATTTAATGAAATTTAAAATTTCAATTTCTAGAATATTTCCCAGAAGTCCTCCATATTTGTTAACTTCTCAGTGGTCCAAACTAGACCAGCGCTAAACTGAAACCAGTCACTGCTGAGAGGGGGTGGAGTTGCTGTTACTGACTTGGTGTAATGATTCCATCTTTTAGCTGGAAGTAGGTCCCTCCGTGAGCATACCGGCACCACTAGACCATCTTGTTATTGGGGCAAATGGGGAGGGACAGCTGCCAACTCTGATTTAACCATTAGTTCAGTTTTCTCCACACAGTCCCTATAAACTTTCTTTATAGACATTTTAGAGATGGACATTGTCTATTTTATAATTACATATAATTATTGGAATTCTTAAATATTGCCTTACAGCAACAAATGGTCATTCAGAGTGTTTACGGCTACTAGTAGGAAATGCAGAACCACAGAATGCAGTAGATATTCAAGATGGAAATGGACAGTAAGTTTTAATAATTTTTCAATTCTTTTTAGGATGTTTAGCGGTTTTGTGGGTTTTTTTTTTAAGATGTATTTACTTATTTATGCAGAACTGGGTACAAGCCAGAGGCACAGGGATGGTGAAAGATAGAGTGGAGAGTAGAACAGGCAGATCAGTGAAGTATACTGCTGAGGGGAGCAGCGGGCAGGTCAGAGGAGGTCTGCTGAGCCATGTGGGTCACTTCCCTGGCAGGGGATCTAACTCACTAGAGCAACTGAGACTAGCTTGCAGTGCTGCATCCTAACCTGTTGTGCCTCCAGGGAGGGCCCGAGGATATTTAGTTTTCAATACTTTGGTCCCTCCTTCAGTGATTATAGTATGTAACTAAGTTACTTCAAATACAGTTTTTTAATTTAAGCACATTAGAAAGTTATATCAAAAAGTCAGTTAAAAAAATAAAAGCAAGGACATTGATTAACTTCTCTTCGTGAAGTGGATTCTTAAGTGGTAACACCAAGCCTCTTCCCATTGATGCTTAGGACGCCTCTTATGCTCTCTGTTCTCAACGGGCACACAGACTGTGTCTACTCACTACTGAATAAAGGAGCAAATGTAGATGCCAAAGATAAATGGGGAAGGACAGCACTGCACAGAGGGGTAAGCAAAAACCTCATTTCCTTTCAGAAAGATTTTTTATGACTTCATTTTACCTAAATTGAATGTTTTATATTTTTTTCTTAGAAAACTTTTTACCAAATGATCTTCACTGTTTAGTATCTTAGTTTTTAAATGCTAATTTTAAACAATGTCCAAGCTTTTTTTAATCCAGAAAAGAGTGTTAGAATATTTAGGATATTTTTTTTTCTCTTTAAACTGTGAGAAATTATTTTGCTTACACTTGGCATGATTTTTCTTGTCTGTGCTCTTCATTTTTATATAATATAATATATAATAGCAACTTAATATAATATTTTTAGAACAAATAAATTCATGTAATGGTATAAAGAAATTCCTTTTTATGAATTTGAAATGTATTTTGTAGCCATTGTATTGATACCATTGTATGATCAGTGAGTTCAAACTATACCAGATTTTATAGAACCTAGATGCTAAAGTTCACCTACTTATGTAATTTCAGGTTTTATCGTTTTTGTTTTTTTTTTTTTTTTTGATGTTTTCATGCCTCCACTTTCTTACCTCTTTGAACTTAGTTTTCTTCTACTCCCCCACCATTCCTATGCTTTTTGACCCTCTCTCCCCTCACACCCACTACTAACCTCAGAGACTTTGCTACATTTATTAGCATCTGAGTTTTACTTTTTGCTTTGCCAAATCATCTACTATGTAAACATCCAATATTTGACATTGTGACTTGCTTTCTAAAATATAGTTCCCTCAGAAACCTTCAATTGTAAACATTCAATATTTGATATTTTGACTTGCTTTCTAAAATATAGTTCCCTCAGAAGCCTTCAATTTTGCTGTAATGGCAATATTTTACCTTTCTACTGTGTTGACTTATACTACATCTTCTTGATTCAATCCTGTGGACATGTGAACATAATTTCCTACCTACTATGACTAATGCTGTGAGAAACTGTAAAATGTAATTGTTTGTTGATGGTTTCATGTTCTTCAGTGGTACTTTTGGGGTCGCTGAGTCATTTACATGTTTTGTTCTATAAGATAAATCCCCATCACTTCCAGAATGGCTATACCACTTTATATTCCCACGAACAATGTGTAAGAGGATTTCTCTTTCTCCACATCTTCTCCAACACTGGGGTCTTTTCAATATGTGCCATATATGATATGGTGATTTTGACCATCTTTATTAAAAGCAATGATAAACATTTGCCATATATTCTATTCGCCTCTGGATAGATATCCTCTTGGTGAGTTTGTCCAGATTTGCTGCCCATATATGGAATGTTTGGTTTTTCATTGTTACATTGAAGTTTTTTTTTTTAATATCTCAGATGGTGATCCCTTTGTGGTTGTGTAATATGTAAATATTTTCTATTCAGTAGAATTTTTTTTTATTCGACTTACATTTTCCTTGACTGTGTAAAAGCTCTTTAACTGTCAGTAATCCCACTTGTCTGTTTTTACTTTTATTTCCCTTGCTATATGGAGAAGTGTCCAAAACATGTTCATCATTGATGTCTATTGATGTCTTATAACATATTGCCTATGTTTTCTTGTATTTTATTGTTGGAGGTCTTAAACCTAAGCCTTTAATTAGATTTATTTTTGTGCATAGAATTAAAGGGTAATATAGCTCCATTCTTCTACTTGTGGCTGTCCATTTTCCTAGCACCGTTTGTTAGAGATTACTTTCCCTATCATGAATTAAGTACTGATATATATGTGGATTTATTTCTGGACTTTAAGTTCTTGGAACAAAATCTTAACACCCTAAAGTCTTGTTAGAATTAGTCAATTTGATGGTTTTCCATTATCTCAACTATTTTCTTACATATTTTTGTCTTACTGTTTTCAACCTTCGAAAGTTATCTTCATTGAATTACAAGTTTTTCTTTTTGTCTTTCATACCAGTATTTTGAAAAATTCATTTTTTAAATTGGTAAGCCCTTCCAGTAACAATATTGAATCAATCAAAAATGATAACTTGGTGGAAGGATATGGGAAATATATACTTTAAATTTTTTAATTAGCAATAAGGTACATAGTGTTCTATATATCAAACTACATGCAAATTTTCTAATTTCAGGCAGTTACAGGCCATGAGGAATGTGTAGACGCATTACTTCAACATGGTGCTAAGTGCTTATTTCGGGATAGCAGGGGCCGGACACCTATACACTTGTCAGCTGCCTGTGGACACATTGGTGTTCTTGGAGCCCTTTTGCAGTCAGCAGCATCTATGGATGCAAATCCAGCTATAGTCGACAATCATGGATATACAGCACTCCACTGGGCTTGCTACAATGGTTAAGTATAAAGGAACAAACCTACACTATTCTGTTGTCTACCAAGCAGACCCAGGTTACTTAACATACTCTGATATTCATGCACGTAACATGTTTATGAGGCAAAATAAAGTTTATTTCAAGTCTTTTTACAAATTTTAATCTGCGCTAAGAATATAGCTTCTTCTTAGCCACTGCATAGTAAGGTGTTTTGAGATCAACTATGACTAAATTTGCAGCTTTTCTTAGACTTTGCTTCAACAAGTATTTTTGCATTTTAAAGATAATTGTATGGTATGCTTACCTTTTGATTAGGTCTTCTGTTTCCTGAGAGTACTTGTTTTTGGGGGGGTGGGGGGGAATGACAACAAAGACAGGAGAAAGAGTAAAAATGAGTCATATTCTAAACTGAAATTTGTGTGTGTGTTCTGAGCATCTTGCAAAATATCCATTACACTAACAGATATGCTGAAAGTTTATAAGAATCTCGTCCTAGAAGGTCATAGAAACAGAAATGTAGATACTTTCATGGTGATGTTAGCTTTGCTGCATATATATAGAACACTTAGTTTTCGGGAGGCTAGGTTTCTACATTCCTTCTATGTAGGTTGACTTTTTAAAAGTCACTCAGAAGTATAAACCTCAGTTTGGCTTATGAAATCTTACTAGTTAAAATAAGTAATGGAGTATATAGAAGTCATTTTTTTTTCCTTGAGTAGTAGGGACATGGGTAGTGATCATCTTAGAAAACTCTTGGTTATATTTTGTACCTTAAGAACATAATCCTGTCAAAATTCGGGGCTGAGGTATTAGTGGAGATAGGAGGGGTTTCCTGTTTTGAATCTAAATTGGGCATTCAGATTGTTAGCAATATACTTTCTTTTAATAGAATAATGCTTCTGAGAAATTGTTCTACATAATTACTTGGCTTTTTTTTTAAGTATGACAGTGCTTGCTTACAACATTGTTGATAACTTTTATCTCAAAAATCTATAATCAGAGATTAGTTCATTTATGATACTTTTTTTTTTAGAAGGATTTATTTGCTTATAGAACTGGGGTATAGGCCAGAGGTGTGGTGAGTGAGAGGATTCACCAGAGATAGAGTGGGAAATAGAACAGGCAGATCTACTGAAATATACTGCTGAGGGGAGCAGTGGGCGGGTCAGGAGAGGTCTGCCATGCTGCGTGGGTCAGCTCTATGGCAGGGATCAAGCTCATGCGCAGTAGCTTTAGAGAGCTTCATAATGTGGTGTTTTAACCCATTTAACCACCAGGGAGGACCCCATTTATGATACTTTTATACTCTGAAGTTCTTCCAGACACTTAATAAGATTTTGATATATATGGGATGCATGACTTAAGTAAAAAAAACAAGTTGCAAAAGTCATCCACTGCATAAAAATACAAAATATATGTGGGCGGCTGTATGTACTTTGAAACTTTCTAGACCTGGTTACAATCTAGTAGTTAGGAGTTAGTGAGTGGAACTGAGATGGGATGAAGAAAGGAATGTGGATTTTTTTCCCCCTCCAAACATATCTATAGTTCTGGGATTCCTACAGTTCTGTAATCAGAAAATATTTAAATTTTGAAGTTAGGCTATGTAAATTACTTTGAAACTTACATGCTATATAAATAACATTTGAATAAAGAATGACCAGATAGTTTTAAACGTAGAAAAAAATGGGCCTAATATTTTCCCCACACAGTATATGTTGTGTCAAGAAAACCTTAAGTGATAAGAATCTACTGTACCTTGCGTCTCAGACTGTACATTAGGTTCCCAAACTCCTAAAAACGTGCTCCTACACAGTGGGCTGCCTGCTCCTTGTAGAGAGAAGTGTGTGCACAGGCTCTTGGTGTCTTCTGGGTTTTAATGCCTTGATTCTCTTTTACTTACTTAGGTCACGAGACGTGTGTAGAACTTCTTTTAGAACAGGAGGTTTTCCAGAAAATGGAAGGAAATGCATTTAGTCCTTTGCACTGTGCTGTGTAAGTAAAGCTGGAATAAATTAGATTTGGGTTGGCCGTTTAAGAAATGTGCCGTTGCTGTGAGAATGACTGCCTGTCCATTCCACAGGATAAACGACAACGAAGGTGCCGCTGAGATGTTAATTGACACGTTAGGTGCCAGCATCGTGAACAGCACAGATTCAAAGGGAAGGTAGGCGCCACTATTTGAGAAAGTTTTACCTTCTGTAGGAAGAATATTTTGTAGCTACTACAAAGGTACAGAAGAAATTACAGAGACCCACTGAATTGAATGTTAGTTTTTATAGTTCCAAGCATATATTGTTATAAAATACTTTCTTTAAGAGGGTTTTTTCTATTATGAATTTTAGTCTTCCTCTTTCAAGATAAGCAACCTAAAGAAAGGTTAGTTTTTAAAACAGGAATAAAGGCTGGGAGAGAGTCCAACAGTTATAATAGAGGACAATATTTATACTGGGTCAGAATTTCTTTCAAAAATTCCCTCAGTAACTTTTTTAGCAATTCTATTATTTATATGATCAGAAGTATAAATTTCTGTAGCAGAATTTAAACATATCTTTACCCTTTTTTTATTGCCTAATTGGTAAGCCCTTGACAATGGTGTGTTGTAAATTAAGGACTACTTTTCTCCAGAGCACTTGACACATGGATCTTCTCCCACTTTTTCCTATTGCAGAACCCCTCTCCATGCCGCCGCCTTCACAGACCATGTGGAGTGTTTACAGCTACTGCTCAGTCATAACGCCCAAGTCAATTCTGTGGACTCTTCCGGGAAAACTCCTCTCATGATGGCTGCAGAAAATGGACAAACAAATACAGTTGGTAAAGAAACTGGCTGCGGGTTCTTGCTTGCATGTAGCTTTGCTCCCAAGCTTGCTGACTCCAGCTCACTGAATTTTCCACTATTTACCCCACCATTCCAGAGAGTTAAAAACTTCACATTTCATTTAAGGCCACAGTGTCTGTCTTTGCTCATTCTAACTAAACAGTCTGCTTTGCCAGGCAGAGTAGGGCAGTGAGTGGTTCAGAGTTGGCTCTGGTGTCCAACTGGCCAAATCTAAGTCCCGGATTTGCCAATTGAATCACCTCAGGCCTCCATTATATGGGGAGGAAGATAATAGTGCTCATTTTGTAGGGTTGTTATGACAGTTAAATAATTGTAAATTTAGAGCACTTCAAACGATACATTAATATGTTGTTATGTACATTATATCTTAAGTTTTTGCTTTGTATCTTAATTTCTTTATATTGGGTCATTAGTAATTGAGAAAATTTGTTCATATACGTAAAAACTGATGCAATTTTTCCTCCCAGAGATGCTGGTTAGCAGTGCTAGTGCAGATCTGACTTTACAAGATAACAATAAAAACACTGCCCTCCATCTGGCGTGTGGCAAGGTATGTACACATTTTAAGAAAAGTTTTCATTGTTAATATCAACAATGTAAAAGTTTTCACCCTTCTCTAAAATGAACCAGGGCTCCAGGGACCAAATAATCACCGAATTCAGGTTTCTTTGGGGAAAAAAAAGCCATGACTTTTAGGCACCCTTGCATATGCAGGTCTCCACTAAATCAAGTGAATTTTAGAGCACAAGCCTAAACATAATCACCGTCTATCTTTATTCTCTCTAAAATTATTCTTGTCCTTCAACCCCAACACATTTGGAGTGATGTGGAGGTTGCTATGTGGGCTAGGGTTGGGTGTATAGAGTTACTTATAATCGTGTGCATGTTTAAAAGTTATTTGCCATGATTTTAGGGTCATGAAACTAGTGCCTTGTTAATACTGGAAAAGATAACAGATAGAAACCTCATCAATGCAACCAATGCAGCCTTGCAAACGTGAGTACTTTCAGCATCTACTATAATCTTTATGACCCCCTAACTATAGAAATGATTTATAGGGCTTTTTTCTAATATGGGATCATTGCAATCGATTTTAGTTACAGAAGCAGTTAGAAAGTAAAGAGCAGTCTTTATAATTGACTTAACCTATTTCTAAAGTCATAACTATTACTAGAAGTAATGTATATTTTCTTGATCCAGTTAGCTGTAATTTTATCAATAAAAGTACTAATACATTCTGTATTTGATTCTGGTAATATATAAATGAGAGAGTTTTATATATGTCTCTGAACTAAGGAGGTCTCAAAAGAATCATCTCAGTATGAGCTGTGAGCCTCCCAGAGACTGCTGAGTAGATCTTAGATCCCAGTGTCTTCTCCCAATTTCTATTTGCTATTCTATTTTGAGACAGTAAAGAGGAAAATCTTGTAATACTGGTTCACTTCAGATATTGCTCAGATCCCTTGAAAGTGGTCAAAAAATAACCATGGAACCTGTAAACTGTGTTCAAAGCTTTGTGCAATTTTTACCATTGCAGTTGACAGTCTTTAGTTCTTTGTATTTGTTTGCCAACTTCATTACTTAGAAAACTTAATGCAGACTAACAAAAGGTTTGGTGAAAGCAGGCATTTGCTGACAGGACCTAATAATGCTCTGCGGCGTACACAGCTTGGGAGTGTGTGAGAACTACTCACGCCTCACCGCCCATCTCCAGTGCTCCTAGACAGACATCTTAGTTTGTATCGCTGGGTCTTCACTGCTTAGCACAAATGTCCTTTAACCACCAGAATTGAGAGGAGGGGGAGAGAGCGAGCACACACCTGTTCATAGATCATGTTTTTCCCCCAGACCTCTGCATGTTGCTGCCCGAAACGGGCTAACAATGGTGGTTCAGGAGCTTTTGGGCAAAGGAGCAAGCGTGCTTGCCGTGGATGAGAACGGTGAGTAGTTCTGTTCTGTCTCCTTGGCTAGCAGCTTTTTCTCTTTTGATAGGCCCATGTTTGAGATAAACAGATAGTAACCATAGAGGAAAATGAAACTTTAACAGCGAATGGTATTTACCTTTGTGGGAAAATGGGTCAGAGACAAAAGAAATTGGAAGAGTCCATCTAAGACAAACTTAGGAATTTCACTTACCAGAGTTGTTGCTATTGTTAACATTTGTTCTGTCAGACATGTTAACCCGATCCCTTAAGTGCTAGCTGTGTCTAAAGCAGATCTCCCCATTTGTACACTAGAAACCCGTCCCCCTGGCTTATTGCAGTTTTTCCTAGTTTGTATAGGATTTGCAGATCATTTCATATGGAAACATTGTTTCACCTTCTTTTGCAAAGTTTCATTTCCTTCTCCCTAGGTGATCCCAAAATTACTTCTTAAAAATTACTTATGTTGCATATTTATCAATCAACAATACAATGTCGATGTTTATTAAATCACATGTCTCAAAGCTGCAAATCCACTCTCTGCTTTCCATTACCCACTCTCCATGGTTCTGGTTGATGGCAATCCCCTCCTTACCGGTATTCACACAGTCCATCAGCATATACTTTGGAGAAAGATCAAAATTACATCTAAAAGTGCCCACTTCTTTCTCCTCTATTCCAAATCGCAACTCAAACACCCCTGCCTATGACCTACAGGACCCTCACGTGCGGTGGTGCTGCTTAGTCCTACTGCAGTCCTGTTTTTTTACATACTGTATGTAATTTACTTTTTCTAAATCAGGTTTGTGTAGCTCACTCCCTAGAATGAATAGAGGCTCTACCAGACGTAGAAGCCTGATACATTCCTGGCACTTAGAAGACTGCAGGGCAGAGAGGGGCGCAGGAGGCACTCGTTTGTGGTGAGTGCATTGGGCCAGGTTCTGAAGTGACTGTGGCATAAGACAAGTGCACTAACAGTAGCGAAACTGGAGTAAACCTAGAATGTGATGAGTGTTCAGACTCTTGAAGGACCAGGAAGGTAGCCCCCAAAAGCATCCTGTAACCCAAAGAACAAGTAGAAACAGTGGGGAGCAAACTTTCCCAGTGAAGTGGCATGTTTAGAGAACACAAGAGTGTCAGTGTTGTGTTCCCAGAGCTGGGAATCTAGTGGTGAGGACCGGGCAGGAGGAGGATAGCAGCCACTCTGTCAAGCAGAACAAGAGTGGGATAGAGAACAAATTTAACAGGTGAAAGGAAACGGCACCTAGAATTAAGACAGATTTCTCTGGGCATTCATGCTGGGACTCACAAACTTGGTGAGCTGTGTGGAAATGCTGTTGCTAAAATAGGAAGATAGGAGGAAGAGCTGAGTTGAAACCCCCAGTCAGTATTTGGATATAGAGACATGGAACCCAAAAGCAAGATCTAAGTTGGACTCCAATTTGGGGATACCAGCAACACAGTTATGAAATCGATAGAAGTAGTAAGAATTCATTGTCACTGAAGACAAGTTTAGACCCAACTAGCTGTAAAAGAAGCTTATCAGTAAATTACTTTTCAAGAAATGCAGCTACTAAGTAGACTAAAATGAGGAGCCCCAAATGGCCATCTTGATAGCTGATCTAAGTTATTCTAGTAACTGGCTGACATCTAGGCTCTGTAGTCGAGAGACAGTATATAAAGGGTCTAGTGTACTCTGTGCCTAGGTATTCATTCACTCCAGGAATATGGTCAGTGACATTTCTGTGGAACTTCTAGAGGGAACAATTATACTTGCCTGGGAAGAAGATTAGAGAGACCCTTGTCTCCAAGCACTTTGTTTCTCTTGCATTTGCTTTTCAGCATACTACACCAATCCTGTGCAGAGGAGAGCAGCCTGTTTTCAGTTCCACGAGAACTAGAAAACATTCTTGAGGTATTCTGTCCCTGCTGGGTTGCTCTTCCGCTATCAGCATCACAACAGGCACCTTTGGAAGAGCCTCAAAGGAGCAGTGACACATCTTCTGATCACTCTGCACATCTAGGGGTTAGTTAATGCTCATGACATTAGCCTTTTATCCTTGAACAGGGGAGAAAGAAACTTATTGGAGGGAAGAATTTTTTTTCTTTCTCAAGGCAACTATAGCATGGATAAAAATATGCAGAAATGGAAACAATAGAATGACTAGACTATGGTACAACACACAGTAAAAGCAAAACAACTGCAGTTACATACAACTGCATGGTCAGTCTCAGGAAGCCAGATGTTAGTAACTGTGTGTGTATGAACACAAGTTAGAGCCCACTTGGGTCGCTATAGTCCCCCTCGTGAACGAGAAAGGGGCATAATTGTACTTGAGTAGGGGACTTCGATTTGTGACAAATCATTCAGGTGTTACAGTATAGTGCTGGAAGAGAATCATACCTAGAAGTACACAAAGGAAACTGGACTAAAGCTTTAAGACGTGTATAAAGGCCTTTTGGCTCTACTTGGTTTAAACCAGTTATGTGAGCTATTTTAAAGTTGTCTGGCATGACCTGAACTTGACGTCGTCTGGTGTGTTTTTACGATCTTTCCCATTCTGTGCTCCCGACTGGGTCCTTACCGAGAGAGGCACCTATGTGTTTCTTTCCTCAGTTTGATGTGTTGGTACTTTATGATGCCTTAATCTTCAGCTTAAAGGAACAGCTGCAAAGGAAACATTTATTTTCACTTAGGTATTTTAAAAGTTCACCTACTTAGTGAACTGTGACCCTGAAAGAAAAACTAATGAACACTCAAAGAGCATTCAACAAACATCTTCTGAGCACCTTCTCAGAGACTCATTCATAAATCAGCATGTTTAGATCTTTTCAGCACATACATAACCATAGTGGTAAGTCTTTGATCACCACTTGAAGGGAGACATCAGCTTTTATCCCCATATTCTAGTCCATTATCTTCTGTGAGTTCAGGTGGGAATTCATAGCCCTAACTTACCCATAGTTGTGAGATGGTGGGGAAATCATCCCTATCTGGGCTGTTTTTCTCTTCTGTAATTTAATCTGCAAGGTGTCCTTACCTCCCCTGCGCCCCCCCCCAATAGTCTGTGGCTACTTTCCCTTATGAAACATTCAAATTAAACCTGTTCTATGCCAAGTAATTTAAAGTATGTCTGAACTTGAAGGCGTTTAGGCATATTTCCTTGCATCTGTGTAGTGCGTTTGGAATGTTTTATCTTTTCTTTTTTGTGTTCAATCCCAGGCTATACCCCAGCTTTGGCCTGTGCACCCAATAAGGACGTGGCAGACTGCCTAGCTCTCATTTTGGCCACCATGATGCCTGTCTCGTCAAGTAGCCCTTTATCGTCCCTGACATTCAATGCCATTAACCGTTACACGAACACCTCAAAAACAGTCAGCTTTGAAGCCTTGCCGATCATGAGGAACGAGCCTAGTTCCTACTGCAGTTTCAACAACATTGGCGGGGAGCAGGATTACCTGTACACCGATGTGGACGAGCTCAATGACTCCGACTCCGAGACCTACTGAAGAGGCTGAGCCCAGAGGCCTGTGAAGGGCATGCTGACACAGATGCTTCAAACCGTGCTTTTTCAGGAAAAAGGCACTTTCTTAGTGACGTACAAATTTCAGCCTCAGATGAAAGATCACGAGAGTGAATCTAAAAGTGATGACATTAAGAAGCATTTTAAAGGCAAGTTTTGCAAAAGGAACTTCTAGAATCTTGAAACCTAGAATCTTGAAGTAGACTTGACCAGAGGAACACACTTTGATGTCAGTTGCTTTGTAGAAGTTTTGATTTTGCAGTGCCAGGAATGACTTGGACACTGAGCCCCAATCTGCTTACACAGGCAGCGCTGCTGTAAAGAGATGAGGACACTAGATTGGAATTTTATCAATAGAACTCCAACTAAATTTAAGGGCAATAAGAGTTTGGTACAGTAGGCATTATGTGCACAGCAAATTGCCAAAGGACCAAATGACTTGAGAGGTTTTTATCGAATGCCATTTTGTGGGAACCGGAGTAGGTGAAGTAAGACATTATCGAAACCAAACTGAACTATTTCTGACAATGAAGCTGAGATTTGGTTTTAAATGATTTTTTTTTAAAAGAAAACCATCTGAAAGCCTTCTAATACTGTATTAAAAACCATGACAGAAAGCAGATGTATTTTTACATTTTTTTCTTTTACATAAAAATTTAAAAATTCCAACTTTTATAATATTAGAATCAAAGACCAGTTGATGGGTGCAGTTGGGGTGAAAATACTTGTGGTGTAGACATGAGCTAGGTTGGGCTACTGTTGCCCAGTTTGAATGGGTTAGGTTTAAATTAAACTATTTTTATTCAAAATTGTAAAAAAATTTCCTAGAAGAAAACTTAATGAAATTAAAAAAAGAAAAAAAGTAGGCTATTTTCACCCTGTTGCAGCTGACTGGCCCTGGGGAATGGCATTTCCAGCGTCACCACTTTGGGAGGCAAACCTTCGGCCCGTAGGTTACGTCTGTGCCTCCACCATGGATTGGGGGGTTTTGTCATTTTTCAGCAAAAATATCAAAAAGAAAAACTCCCTTGTTAATTCTAAGTTAACATCACCAGGTCTCTTAGAAGGCATGTCTGTATTGGGCAAGATCTCCTATGCTGAGCTGTTAGGTCCTGTTGACATTTAAGGAGCAGATATTTACCATTTTACTACTTGAAGAGAGAAACCATTGCCTGTGGGACGGGAGGGTTGCCTTTCAGATGACAGAAAAGGCCGCTGGTTAGTTTTTTTTAAAATAGCGATATGGTTCTGCTTTTACTATAACTGTCACTCTCTCAGTGAGAATGATTTTACTTATGTAGGGGAGTCTACAGATCTGGGTCAAGTTCCATAAATTTTCACTAAATACCCAATTTCATTTTATCCTTTTTTGTATTGTGAAACTGGAAACTTTATGACATTGTAAATTATCAGCTGGTTTTTCTGAATATAAAGTGTGAAAACACAGAACAGTATTTTGATCTATTTGATAATTTTGTGGGGTTTTTTTGACAAATTAATGAGCATGTACATAGAAATAGTGACTGCTTGAAACTGTATTTACTTGCACTCTTTCAGTACATCAAGATTCCTGTATATTTTAGAGTATAATAAAACACAGATGTGAGTTGTATTTAATGAATAATGTATTTGTATCTGTGCATATCACCTAAAATAATCTATAAAGTTTCTAGGGCATTGACTACTAGATTTCCAGCATTTTTTTCTAAAATATTTACAGAAATTAACAAATGTTAACACTCCATCTCTTCTTTATGATATAAAGAAGTCATAATGCCCTTCCTAACTGGTAGGAGGAGGAAGGGAATATGCATTTTACAGACAGCGGACTACGTTTTCTATTGTACCTTTTGAAAAAAACTCAAAAGAGGATCTAAAAGTATACATATGTGTGCTTTCTCTTTCCTTTTAGGAATTCTCTTCTGAATTCCCTGAGGGAATTTTCTAGAATCTCAGAATGAAAGAGACCTGAGGTTCATCCAGTCTAACCTTAAAAATGCAGGAGTCCCTTCTACAAGGGTGACCTTTCCACCTTGAACACTTCCAGTGACTCTACCTCACCAAGCAGTCCATTCAGTTGTTGAGCAGCTCTGTTAGAAAGGTCTTCCTTAGCTGGAGCGGAAGCCTCCTTCTCGATAACTTCTGTCCTTGGGCCGGTTCTGTCCTCCAAAAGAACACAGAGAACGTTGGAAGGATGACCCTCGCGCCCTGTCATGTCTTCTCTTTACAGGCTGTTTGACTCATCTGCTGAAATGATTTCTAGAAGGACTCATTTAGACACAGACCTGCCACATCTGATGAAACCCAAGGTGTAACTATAAAGCAACAGACTTTTTAATTTATCCCAATATATATCAGAAATTACATATTATCACTTTATGCAGATGATGCTATTACGGAAAAATGTATGAGGTGGTGTTTTCCCTGATTGCTTGTCCTGCAGGAAAACTTTAATTGCTTTGCGATACCCCCACTTTGATCAAACATGTTAGGTCTGCACCTAACGAGGCAAATTCCAAACTAGTATTTGAACAGCGCTAGTATTGCCGGAGTGAGTACCTAGAGCAAACATAGCAGCATCACACTAAGTTCCTCTATAGTTACACCTTGTATGTCAGAAGCATCCGGGCCCTGCTCTGTAGTGTTTTTTAATTCTCACAGAATAGAAAGTCTGTTTGCTTTTTTTACGTCTGCATGAAAGATGACACCTGCAATATCTGATGTGTATTATAATACCAGCTTCTGCTCAAGAACTACATTGGGAGAAATGGTGGTGATAGCAAATGACCTTTAGCAAAACGAGACACTCAACTCCAACCGTGCCATTTAGTTAAGGAGATCTCTAAGTATAGCTGTTAATTTGGGGTATAATTTGGCTTATATTGGACCTTTTAAATGAAATAAAGTTTTTTAATGCAATAAATCACGTGTCATTCTTTCATTACATACAAACCTCTTCTGCCTTGTCTCAAAATGCATAGTGTTTATAACTAGTTTTTACCTTCTAAAACTTAAGTGGCAAATGTATATATTCAGAAAGTATTTTATTGCTTGCTGTAATGTACTTGGGGTGAGGATGGACCAAAAGTGGGCCAAGAAATCGTGGTCTTGCCCTTTAGAATTTTAGCTTAAAATTTCTTCGTGGGTAAGTATGTAACTAAAAGTGTGACTCTGTCACTGAGCAAGAGATGAAGCTCTAAGAAAAGAGCAACATGATGGTGTCAGATGGGAAGGCCAGACAGGCTTTGTGAACAGGGAGCAGTTAAGCTGGAGTTTGAGGAACAAGCAGAAGAGTGGCCAGTAACCTCGGCGAAAAGAAAAAAATCAGTTCCCAGAAGTGGGAGGGCAGGTGGATGACTTACCGCCACCTAGCATTTTTGAACAGAAAACCGTGAGAAAGCCTCAAATGCAAATCATCTCATAGCAGTCACAGCAGAGGTGAGAACAAATGGGGTCGTGGGGGTGGGGGAGGTACATACAGGTCTCAACTGCTTGCTCAAGGTCTCTGATCCTGGTATCAACAAAGCGTCTGCAGCATCTACACGCACCAGGCGAGGTTGTGGGTACTTGAAATGCATCTAACCACACAATCGCCAGAGCCGCCAGTCTCTATGTAACAGCCCAGGGCTGCAGCCTAGAGCAGTAACCTGAGCAGTGTCCGGCCAGTGTGGTGAGAGGAGCACGTCCCCTTCATAGCGTTGCGCTTCCCCACTTGACAGACAACCATACGCTTTGGCTGGCAACTTTGCCAAGCTCCTCCCAGTTCTGTTCTTCCAGGTCACTGATGTTAGAAGAAACAAAATGATATAAAAAAGACTCCCCATTTATGCACCGTCACAGTTTCTGGTGTGAGTGGCCCTAAGACTTGCTGAGTATTGTGTTCTAGAAATGCTAAACTACTAAAAACAGGAAAGGAGAGGCAGGAGACCAGCTAATCCACAAAAGCAAACCTGATGCTCTGCTAAGGTAGCCCAGGGCCACTGCGTGACCACAGAGGGGCCTGAGCTCACTCTGCCCCAGGACACTGCTGGCCCTGACCCGCCCTAGAGGTTTAACTGGCTCCACCTGAAGCTGGAAATAAGGAGGCCACAAAACTCGAGTAGGATAGATTCCAGCACCGAGCTCAAAAACCCAGCCTTTATAACAATAATCAGCCACCACCAACACCACCACCCCTCAAAAACCAGGAGGCTGGTTCGGAAACAACCTTGACCGCAGTGATTACGTCCTGGCTACCAACGAGGCCTAGCAAATGCACTGGCCTTGAAGCACGGAGTGCTAAAGTAACAAAATGTCCCCTCTTCATAGAGCCAGCATAGCAATTGTCCAAATATACATTCAATATAAAATCAATAATGACTTGATTGAATTGATTGGTTTAATAACAGCATTGTACACAGAGCAGCACAGTATGTTATAAAGTAATTAATATTCCTCTGCTTGAGAGGGCTGGCACAAATCTAGGTCCCACAATAGCCAGAGACATGTCAGGGCCCAAGAATTCTGGGAACCAAAGGCTGTAATAATTTCCTGCCCAGTCTCCAATAAAAGATCTATAGTCTTAAGTAACATACTTTTGTTTTAAGTAATAGAGCTGTAAATAATAATGTTTTCCTACTCTTTCTTTTAACTTTCACCCCAACCTCTTTTCACATAGAAAGGTTTTTTTAGATAAGATTAACAGGATAGTAATCAGTGAACATATAAAGAAAGAAATTTCCAGCCCTCCCTGTTGGCACAGCATAAGGTTAGTTAAAGCACAGCACTAAGAAGCTAAATCCATTTCTGCATGAGTTCGATCCCCGCCCCGGGATTGACCTACATGGCGAGGCAGACCTCTCCTGACACGCCCGCTGCTCCCCTCAGCAGTGTGCTTTGTCGATCTGCCTGTTCTGCTCCCCACTCTGTCTCCGGTGAATCCTCTCACCTCCCCTGCACTTCTGGCCTGTACCCCAGTTCGGTATGCATAAATAAATAAATTTTAAAAAGAATGAAAGCAATTTCCCCGATTCTTATGTTAGTTATAGAGTCTAGGTGGACAAAACAATTACAGGCAGAGTGATTAATAGAAGCTCCTTTTGTAGATCCAAAATGGGGTTTTTCCTTGGGGCAGGAAAATGTCAGTGCGCTCGGTGTTGGTATTTTCTCACTCCTATTTCCATAACATTAGATCCTGCAGGTATGTTCATTGAGAATGTAACAAAATGATTGCTTAAGTTGTAATAGCTAACCATAGATCACCATAGAAACATTTTGTTTACTGATAACTGATCACTATAGAAATACTTTGTTTGGAGCCCTCCCTGGTAGCATAGCGGGTTAAAGCACTGACTGAGAAGCTTAAACCACTTCCACATGAGTTTGATCCCCACCTGCCCCAGAGGAGATTCACATGGCGAGGCAGACCTCTCCTGACCCACTCACTGGTCTCCTCAGCAGTGTACTTTATCAATCCGCCTGTTCTGCTCCCCACTCTGTCTCTGGTGGGTTCTCTCACCCTCCGCATCTCTGGCCTGTACCCCAGTTCTGTATGAATAAATAAATCTTTAAAAATATATATTGTTTGATAACCAATCACCATAGGAATATTTTGTTTGATGACTGATCACCATAGGAATATTTTGTTTGATGACTGATCACCATAGGAATATTTATTAATGACTGGTCACTATAGGAACATTTTGTGTATGAATATCAGTCTCAATAAGAGATCAAAAAGTCCCGTCTTTGGATATGTTAATTTATATGGAAAACCCTAAAAGCTCCACAGAGGAACTAATCAAAACCATCCACCA